TTGTAAACATTTGCACTTAGAGTTGGTTAAGTTTACTTTGATGTTGCGAGACAAAATACAACTCCACAACTTTACTAGCGCAAAAACCCCATCTCACTTAAACAAGCAGCTGTTTTTTATGTGCATTAAAGCTATATCAAAATTTAACAGTGCAAATGCAAATTCCTTGCTGAGAGTTTAACCAAAAGGCATTTTCCAGTAGAAATGGGCTGACATATCCTGAGCATAACCATCTATAATATCCACTTAAGTTAAAAAGAGGACCTTTGCAACATGAAACTGCAGTGTGCCAAATAAAAAAGTCAAATATGTATTTTTTGGACCATAAGGTGCAGGTGATTATAAGGCACATTAAGCAAAACTAAGCAGTCAGATAAATTAAACTTTATTCAACTCATTCTTCTTGCTTCCTCCACTTCTGTACCATTGATTCAATAATGCTGTATTCTATCACAGCTGCTCTTAGGGTTCCCAACTCCCTGAAAAATAAATAAGGGACACCTCGTGGCCAGGGCTGGGCAACCCAGTTGTCTTCACCCTTCCAAGTGTGATGAATTTTTTAGCTCTTTTTTTTTGTGTGTGAAATTATTTTTTAACCATTTGACTTGAAGTTGATTTAAGTAGATGCATATTCTTTGCGATATGAACACATGGGAAACAAATGATCATTTAGCCATTTATTTGTAGCGCAAAATGACAACATTAACACAATAAAACAGGTCTCTTTCTTAAACAGAAGCCTGTCATGCTTAACTTTTGAGAATATAAGTAAATCTTTCTTTAAAAGAACTCTGTCCTGCTTAACTTAAAATTATATAAATTTATAGAAAGAAAAAAGAAAAACATTCTTGTAACAGTCCACATGAAGTGCATTTACTGCAGTTGGCTTCAGTTGAGGTATTAACAGCTTTTCTAATGCTAATCAGCTGCTCCTGTTTGTAAACCCGCTTGTTCCCATGATTACGCATCATAACTCATCATCATTATTCATCTATGTATTACTTTTATGTATTAGTCATCTATTGGTTGAAATCATCTATCCTTTCAGTTGTTTATTACACAAAATAAATTATATTATCACACTTCTGGCCACATAGCGCTGATATTCATTGCACATGCCCATATTAACCTTAACCAGAGGGTTTAAAAAACAAAACAAAACAATGTTTACATACCATATCTGCTTCTGCCGTGGCCTGGTGGACAACAAATTGGTTAAGGGTTCCCCGAGCTTTCACGTCCCTCATGTTTTTCATGTGCCCACCACTAGAAGCATGCTGCTTGAGGTCAGTCTGTCCACCATGGCCTATGGAAAAAGTGCACCGGCACAAAGTGCAGTGCGCTTTATAGGTGTTATCGCGCACTTTTTCCAGCCAGGTGTTTTTCCTTTTCCCATTCCTCCCTGCACTTATGCAGCCTTTTTTTTCTTTCTCGAAGGGGTACTGTCATCAAAGACTTGCACCGCAGTGTCGGCGTTTGTTTCCCCTTTTGGCCATGCTTCTTGTTGTGGTCATCTGTTGTCTTCCGGTATTTACTCCGCAAGCGACCTTTCCTCTACCAATGAGATAAGTGGTCATCTGAATTGTCATACTCATGCGTAAGTGTGCTGTAAGCTCATTGGTCACAGAGAAAGAGAGGGGCTGGGGCTTCGTATTGTGGATGGATTTTCTCAGTTGTTTTCTTGACTGAAGTTTGGTCTGTTTACAGCATCCTACCATGAGATTGCATTTGTCTCTAACCATCGGGAACCCTCACGTTAACTTTTATCGAGTGGAAAAGTGTTAGCGTTAGCGTTCATCCTCCAGCTTCACTGTTTATGTTATGCTAACATAGCTGTGTCACTAGCGATCACGTAGCACATCATTATCTACCAGCTAGCCCAAATTCAGTAACCCTAAAAACGTCACTGCTTTTTAGTTTTCTGTCTTCATTTATGTTGGAAGTGATAGCAGAGCTGTACATTTGAATTTTTTCAGAAGTCAGAACATGCTATATCATGCTTAGGTAACTAGTGAAACTAGCGAGCTAACTTTTGCTAACTTCCTGCTAACTTCTAACAATGTCAAATGTAATAAATTCTGTTTTCATGGATGCCTGTATGTTAAACTTAATTGTTACACCTGGTAAAGCAGTAATGCAAAATGCAAAAAATGCAAAAAATGCATGAAACAATTTAGACAGTTTTAAACTCTCAGTGAGGCCACAGTGTTCGTTTGACTTTGGGACATGAAGAGACGGAGTTTTGGACCCAGATTACTCCCAGATTTACAAGCACCTTAGTTCGACAAATATGGTAATAACGACGGCCCGCTTGCATGTCCTCCAAAAAAAGTACTTTGGTGGGTATCTGACGGACAAACAACAAACCGGTTCACATCACTGAAGCTGCACCATTTTCACTCAACGATCCGCTTTCACCCTTCTCATTCTCCGTTGCCGCCATGCTTTTTCGGCCATATGTGTATGAAAACAAAGGAACTGCGCATGCGTGTTTTACCCACATTCTATCGGGATATTTTATTTTCTTATTGTTGTTTAACATTGTACCGGTATTACTGTGAACGGTATAATAAGGCCCAGCCCTACTTCTCAGTTCAAACTGCAAAGGTTTGCAAATTTTTATTTTCATTTATTTATTTTTGTTTGTTTGTTTGTTTGTTTACAACAAAGACAGAAGTAAAATAACATTTACAATATAAGCTACCACCTCATAACAGCAAAAATAATATTTGCATGATATAATAAATGAAGACACAGGTTTACACAGAGATTTGTTTTCATTACGTTGATTTAAAGCCTGTGTCATGTCAAGCTATCTCTCTATCGCTCTATTCTGGTGGAATAGGAGAGTCACAGCATGAATGAGCAGCCAACAAATCTGCAGCAGCTGTGTGATGCTGTCATGTCAAAACAGACAAAAAATTCTGAGCAACATTTCCATCACCTTGTTGGATCAGTGACATGATGGATTAGAGTAGTTCTCAAGGAAAAAGTGGGTCAGACATGTTACTAGCACGTTGTACCTAATAAAGTGTCCAGTATGTGTAAAATATGAAATACTCATCTCTTTATATTTTTGGATTTTATTAGTCTCAGTTAGTCCAGTTTACCACCTGC